CATTCGGTAAAAATTTCGCTTGCAGTAATTTCTACGTGGTAAGTGCTCCTCCATTAATTGGTTTCATAGGGATTCGGATACCTTCCTCATTGAAGTAGTAAAGAAAATTCGCTTAAGTGCTTTTTTCGGTTAAGTGCACACGTTTTTCGTGCAAAGAAGGATGGGCAGCTAAGCAAAATATACTGTACTTTAAAACTACGACCCAGTGGACCAGCTTGTTCTCAAATTTTTGGAGGGTACGTATTAAGCAAGAAAAAAGGTTTTTTCTTAACAGCGGTCGTCCCTCGGCAGGCAATGGCAAACCTCCGAGTGCATTTCTGCCATGAAAAAGCAGCTTCTCATAAAAATACAATCGCCGTTCGGAGTCGGCGTAAAACTGTAGGTCCCTCCGCTTTGTGTGACAACATCAAGGCGCACGCCACAAATCGGAGGAGAAGCTCGGCCAAACACTAACATATGTGTAAGCGCTAATCTATTATTATTATTATTATTACGTACTAAGCACTGTCCAGGAGGTCAAAAGTCAAGCACCGATCTGTCCGTGTAGCCATTATAGGAGCCATATATGGCAATGGTTTTTAGTAAAATATTTGGACTTAAACCTATTTTGGTAAATTTTTTGCATTTAAGTACACAAAGAATGAGTAAGTGGCAATCGTCAGTGTAACCGTTTTCACTACGATCGAAGCTTTTCTCTTCACTTTTATAGCCAACACTTCTGCACTTACTCTTTGACAAAATCACTTTGATTTAAAGCGACGAGAATTCATATATATATATATATATATATACGTCTCAAGACGGCATCAGACTTTGATTGATTTTTTGCTTATTTTTATTTTTTTGTTAAATATTTTCAAGAATGTAACTTTTTAAAAGTAAGCTAAAGCAATAAATAAGTTTAGAAACTGTTAGAAAAAATTCTACTAACCAATAAGCACTGTACTGATTTTTATCACTAAATTAGAGGTGCAAAACTATCGATCGCACTATCGATAGTATCGATGTTTTTTTTATTCTTCGCTACTATCGATTGTTTTTTGGTCCTATCGATCGTCCGACAGACATGTGATTCAGTAATTATTTTAGTTGTATTTCCCTCTTTTCTTTTCATTTCTCTTGAAATAAAAATGTAGTTGCTACTTTTTTCAAAAAGTAATGAAAAATTTCGAAAAGGACGGAAAACATTGCATCTTTTACAATACCGCTTACTCCAGTAAAAGCTAATACAAACAACTTTATACCAAAACTTTTAATATTATCTACGCACCACTATTTACTTTTTAATAATGGTAAACAAAAACCATTAATTTTTATACCCGAGCGCACTTGTGCACAAGGGTATTATAACTTTGTTCACATAACGGTTGTTTGTAACAGGCAAAACGAATCGAGATAGATATAGACAAATGTATACATAAATGATCAGAATGAAAAGAGAAATCGATTAAGCGGTGACTGTCTGTCCGTCCGTCCGTCCGTCCGTCCCTCCGTCTGTGCACACGATAACTCGAGTAAAAATTGAGATATCTTAACGAAACTTGGTACGTGAACTTCATTTGGGCGTAGAACGGACGGTATTGAAAATGGGCGAAATCGGACAATAACCACGCCTACCTCCCATATAACGGTAATTTTAAGAAATACGAAAACTGCGATATTTTAGTAACTACTGAAGATAATTCACTCAAAATTGATATTTGCAATGAGTTTTAGACGAAAAATAAGAATATTACAAAATTTTGGAAAATGGGCGTAGTCACGCCCACTTATGGTTACATGTGTATATCTTGGTAACCGCTACACCAATTTCTTCCAAACTTGGCACAGTTGTTGGTCCTGGTACAGCATACCAAATGGCCGAAAATTTCTAAAATCGGACAATAACCACGCCCACATCCCATATAACGGTAATTTCGAGAAATACAAAATCTTCGATAAATTAGTAAATATTGAAGCTAATTTATTCAAAATTGATGGTTGCAACAATTCTTTACCAAGAAATACGTTTATGACAAAACTTTGGGAAATGGGCGTAGCACCGCCCACTTGTGATCACATATATGTATCTCGCTAACCGTTCTAGCAATTTGTACCAAGCTCGGTATGGTTATTGTGCTTGCCACATAAAAGCAAACCGTTGAAAATTGTTGAAATCGGACTAAAATTGAGGCCGCTTTTCATATAACGGTAAATTTCAGAAATGCTTGAAATTTCAATATTTCGAAATTTAAGGACGATAATTTACTTAAAATGTATACATCCCGGCTTATCATGTAGCGGTAGCTTTCGGAAAGGAGGAAAACATATATTTAATACTTGCGCCGGGTATTTAATGTTCGGCTCCGCCCGAACTTAGACTTTCTTACTTGTTTGTAAGAGTCTTATTTCACCAAAATATAAAAACGCGGAAATCATTGAAACTCCTGAAGCAATAAATAAACATTGGTAATTAACTTATTTTTAGTGTTTTTTGTTGGGTGACATTTAGGAAATATTTAGCCGTACTTATCATCGTGCAAAGGAAAAGTGACTCAAAATCACAAAATAATTGCTTTTTTAATTTATTCTGGAACGAATTTCCGGCATTCCTTGTCAAGCTTGGTTTGCAGAAAAACCGGTTTCGGCGTTTTGCCATCTTCAGTGTAATTTTTCGTTCTCTCTGCTTCGAGTTTTTGTCCTTAATTTATGTTCATTTATCTTAGGTATTATGATTTTCGTCAATGGTTAATTATTAGATAAGCCATGGTGTCCTTTTTTTAGAAGCAAGTAATAGGTTCATCTTCGGTGTCTAGATATTGACATCCGTTTTGTGGTTGCTGTATGATTTTTGCCTGGTGGTATGTAAAAGTCGGTGATTTTTGCCCAGGTAGTACTTTTTGGTGTGTTCGGAGTGTCCATGCCTGTTGTTTTGTTGTCATTTTTCTTTTTTTCTTAAATCAATTTTAAGGGTTCGAATATAACATCCGATGCGGTATTTGTTTGTTCGTTTACTATTTTGCCGTCGAAGGTTTTTAGATTGTATATTTCCATATTTTCTAGTACGTTTAGTCGTTGCTCTTTACATGCAGTAGTTTCGCTGCCTTCCTTATTTGCGTTGGTGAACATTTGTTGTTAACCATGTGGTTAGCAAAATTAGACTCTGGTATTGCCCTCAGTTTCTGTGTATTTTTGTTATTTGTTAGCGGAGCCTTGTTTTTAAGTAATCTCTTATGTCATGCGATCAATAACTTCTTGCGCTTCATAACTGCAATGCACTTAGGCAGGCAAAACCACTAATATTAATATCACGACCAAATTAAGAAAGTGACATTCTGGAAAAATCCGAGGGACAATATTATAACAGGAAGCCTCTCTTATGCTGATAAAGTTTTTCAGCCAAAAATAGAATTAAACAATAAAAGTTAAGGTGGTCATTCACAAACAGTTACGCCTCTTTTTTCATTGTTTCTTTCTTTAAACTTTTTTTCATGTTAATTATCGAATAACCTGAGCGGGGACAAATATTTTGATATGTATTAAGTACAATATACCAAAGAAATACCTTTCGAAAAAGAAAACAAAATGGCTTACAATAATAAAAAAGCAGCTTTGTTGGTGGGTTATTGTTTGGATCGTATACTGCTATTTTAGATTTTTCATTTTTACCACCATAAAAAATTTAAAAAGGGGGACATAAAATAGCACTTTGTTTGGAAATGACCCATATATATTTGTACAGTGATGGCCATATAATTGGGGACACTATTTCTTTATGACTTTTGACAATTCATCTTTTACAAAAATATAGTCTATACTACTACGAAAACAGGGTAGACCAGAAAGTTGCAAATCTTGTAAAAGATTTATTAACAATCGCCAACTTAACAAAAATGGACATAAATATTTCGAACTTTTTAATCCGAATTTCTAGAAAACACTCGAGTATACACTTTTAAAGCCCATTCAATTTAAGCAACATAATGTGCTCAGAATTAGCGTTGATTTTTGAGATTTTTTTTGTGTAAAACTTTTTTCGAATATTCTTTATATGGAAGCAATTGGGCCTATGGCCCAATGTGTTCACTTCGATCGTCTTCGATTTTTCAAGCGCTTCGCTTCCCTTCAAAATTGGCTCGCGGCAACACTGGCAACCGTGCGTATGACCAATTGTATTCGTATGTGTGGGTTTTACTAAAATTTCAGCTGTTCGCTTTTGGACGATTTTATCTTACTGCGCTGTGCCGTAAGCTTATCAACGTTTTATCAGTTTTTCATACCCTCTTTTTGTTTCGCTCTTAATGTTGAGCGATTGCAACTGCTTCTTTTTCGAAACTAAATTTAGAAAAAAACGAAAAAATAAAAATAATCACATGGAGCAAAAGTCAGTGGAGTTCTGAGTGTGTGCTCGCGCGCGAGCGTATCAGTGAACAGGCATGCAGATGAACAGAGCCAGCGAATGTATACCGACAACAGCGAGCAGGTGGGCGGTTTTGAAAGTTAGACAGTCGAACGCCTTGCAATCACTGAAAAGTAATCTTTTTTGTTAAATAAGCTCACAACTTAAAGCCCAGCAATGAAAAAGCACAATAAGCTTTTGCAGTTGTAGCCCAGTGGATAACATGCTAGTAGCTTGCGTTTAAGCAAGCAAGCTAAAGATGCGGCAAGCAGACTGAGAGAATAGGCAAACCGAAATTTGCCGCACTTGAACGCGAATGTTGATGAGGAACGGGAATAGTGGCCTTTTGTCGTAAAAATTCTAGAGACGAGTACAATCCAAAGACATATTTTCATATTGACCACAAAAACGCCCTCAGTGGGGTTCCTTCAATCCCTTTGGGGGACAGGTGGGTGCAGAAAACGCGACCCAAAAAACCAGCAACCTTAGTCAGCTGCTATCAGCTGTGTTGGCATAACAAAATAACCAACCCCAACAGACTATAACTCAGCGCACTTCCCATTCTTTCGCCGTTCGCTCAGCGCTTGCCACCAAAGAGCACACTCAGAGGAACAGAGAGCGCACTCCTTATTGCGACAATGATTTCGTCCGTATGTGTGCGTATATGTATGTACATCGGTGTAGCATTGGAATAATTTCACTGTAGTCATTTCAGTTAATCATTGAGCGTGAGACGAGTAACATAACATATTTTAAGTGGCGCCAAAAAGTTTCGGTACGCATTGTACGCAGCTGCCGACGTGAAATGTTTATTAATTTTGTAAATGAGTTATTAATGGTTTAAATCGCCACAAATTGTGTTACTAGATAAGCAAAAGGCCCGTTTAAGGAAATTTGGCTAAAAACGCTTGTATGCGTAAAATAAGCTTGTGAGTGCGAAAATTGGGTTTGAAAAAGAGTTTCATCAAAATATGTGCAAGCAATCTACAGAACTCTAATGCAAAAAATTCTGTGATAAAATTTAAAAATGATTGTACAAAAATACATTTAAAAAATTACCACTTCGTTGAAAAATTTGCTAAAAAGAGGTAAATGAATAAAAGGCAAGCCAAAGAAGTCAAATGTAAGTGCAACGGTAAACACTTTGCCTCATTTAAATATGTACATACGTTGTTATGCACGATTTGACAAATTATGAAGCAGCAATTTTTAAAGTGCTCCTTTTCATAAAAGTTATATTTCAAGCGTATTTGAAACGCATTACTCAACTTTTAGAGTGAGAAAATAAGAAAATTCGTCACCCCACCATCCGTTCGTGCTTTTCATACATATGTATGTAGATACGTACATGCATTCATAAATGTATACACATATACTTACATACATACGCCTGAATGTGTTGTATATCGGCGTAGAGTTATAAAATATGCAGCGATAACATTCAACATTGCTGCTCGACGGCTGTTGTCGTGTTTTTGTATTTTTTTTTTCTTTGGTACATTTGTTGTGATAAAATCGTTTTTTTTTTGGTGTTGTGTTGTGCATGTGAATAACTTCTACTACTGCTACTCGCTCACTCAGAAGCGCTTTGGCGGGGGTGTAGCCCTACTCGTTTGTCGCAGTGTTTTTACCCACCAACTAACCATTATCGTGCATTCTCTTATCGCGTGGATTCTAGTGAGCGAAAAAGAGAAAAGTGTCGAGCGTGGTGGCATAAGGGGCGCATTTGAACATGTCTTCATATTTGCAGTTGGCGCCTAGTGCTGGATATTGCAGTTTATGACCTATGTTTGGTAATGAAAAGTACTTTTATAAAAACCTGGTATTCAAGGGAATTTAGATAGTTTTATTTTTAATCATAGCTTTCTAAATATGTTAGTGTTGGGCAGTATCGATACCAAAAGTACTCAGAAATCGATTCTCAAAATGTACTGTCGGTACCCGATTTTTAAAAGTATCGATACTGAGTACTCCAAAGTAGCATACAATCGACGTTATTTGAGTTTAATATATTAATTTGAATAAAGTCCTGCCACCTAGTGAGATTTCTACACTAACAGGTCTATTCTGCGCTGGTAATAAAAAGTTTGTAACGGGTAAATAAAATTCCTGTCAATTTTTAAACCCTTTTCGCATTCTGTGTACTCTTGTAACCGGTAAATTTTGTTACCATCTCATAAGCTGGTAACAAAGTATTGCCCCGTGAAATATGTAATGTCAGAATTTGCACAATTCTTCATAGCTGAATCGCTGAATATTTTAACTGCATTACCAACGTTCCTAGAATCGCGGTGACAAGAACTGGTAACATTTTTTGGTAATAAAATTTCCCGGTTACAAAATCTTCGGTAACGCGCAGAATAGACCTGTAAGCATTGAAATGTTACTCGATTCTCAAAAGTATCGATACTCCCAACGCTAAAATAAATAAATGACTGACTTCCAAAACGTATCAATAAATGTTTAGAAACTGTTATACTGCGGTATTCAAACTGTTTGTATATGCAGAGTTGCGACATATTGCATATTTTAAATATTAAATATAGCAATGAAAAATTTTTCTGAATTTTCCATTTTTAAAACACCAATGGTAACCAATAAAAAAACGAAGCATCAACTTTGTTTCTGATGCGCTGATTGCTCTAGCGATGCGTTTCGATAACTTTTCGGATACGTTTTGGAAAAGTATACATTGTCACCATTTTGAGTGGCTCACACGCGAAATTGGACTTTTTGTTGAATAAATCCTGGAAAAACGTAGCAGAATGATGTACTAATGTTTTTCTAATGAGCCGTATATTTTTAACTAGTTGTAGTTTGACAATTCAAAATTACAAATCAGCAAATTTGATGAGTTTAGCAAACAAAGTAAGGCTGACTTCCAAAACGTCAATTGCTTTGCATCCGTACATAGTATAATATTCCGTAACGCCAAACTACAAAATGTTGATAATGTATACTTTTCCAAAACGCATCCGAAAAGTTACGCATTGCTAGAGTAATCAGCGCATCAGAAACAAAGTTGATGCTTCGTTTGTTTTTGGTGACCATTAATAATAATAATAATAATAGATTGGTGCTTAAACATATGTTAGTGTTTTGCTTCTCCTCCGATTTGTGGCGTGCGCCTTGATGTTGTCACACAAAGGGGAGGCACCTACAGTTTTACACCGACTCCCAACGGCGATTGCACTTTTATGAGAAGCAGTTTTTCATGGCAGAAATACACTGGGAGGTTTGCCATTGCCTGCCGAGGGGCCACCGCTGTTAAGAAAAAACGTTTTTTTCTAAATTGCTGGTGACCATTGGTGTTTTAAAAATTGAAAATTCCGAAAGGTGATAAATGTTATATCAAATATTCACAATATGCAATGCATATGGTTACAATGTTTCGCAACTTTGCATATACAAACAGTTTAAATACCGCATCAGAACAGTATCCAAACATTGTATTGGTGCGTTTTGGAAGTCAGCCCAAGTTATTGAATCAAACAAGGGTTTTCAGATACGAGAATAAAACTAAAATTCAGCCACATTCCTTCATATTCTTGCATTTAGTTGCATAGCCTTTTGATTGGATAACTGCTTGGAATCTATTGGTAATCGATTTTACAAAGTTTTGGCAAAATTAAGGATGAATTTTGTTCCATTCCCCCCGTAGTGTCTCTTTATGTTGAGTAATATTGTTGTACGACTTTCTTTACAGCTTTCTGGACAGTCCTTCCCAAACGTGCTCGATAACATTTAAGTCGGTAGATTGTGGAGGGGTCTGCAATAGTCTGGGGCTATTGTGCATCAACCAAAGCTTTGCCACATGCGAAGTGTGTTTTGGGTCAATATCTTGTTAGAAAGCGAATCTGTCTATAATACCCAATTTGTCTGTAGTCTGCTTAACATTTTTCTTTAGTATGTTAATGTATTGGAATCTGTCCATAGCACCTTAAACGAATTGCAAATTCCCTACTGGTGTTGTACGTCCTTTCATCCGATCAATACAAAGTGAGTTTGCTCTCATAGGTAAATAACAGCTTTAGAGAACGAGAATATTAAGTGCATTTATTCTGACCTCATGCTAATTAAACCAACTAACAGTTTTCCAAAAATCATTAGTTTTCAATAAATATTCCTTAGTAAATTTTACACGCAAAGTTTAATTTTTGGGGCTTGTCTATGTGCTTTTTTTCGAACAACACGGCCATTGTAATCATGTTTTCCTAATATTATTCGAAATGTTTCTGTGCTGACCACTTTTCCAATAGAATTTTTTACTTCAGAAGCAGTTTTCAACTGATCATCGTTAATTTGATTTACTACCCCCCGTTCTTCTCGCTCATTTAAAATTGCACCTTGCTAGTGATGATAATTTAAATTATATTTCTGTACTCCTAATTAGTCGACCGGGCACAACGAAGAGTTCCTGAAGATGACCTCAGATTGAGGTCGAAATGTCGACATTAAAAATTATTGAACTAAAACCTGTGTTTTGTGTTTTCTCTGGGCCTCGAGCTTATCAAATAAAAATTACATCAGTTTGGACATTTAAAAGTTTGTTTGTAAGAATGATAACTCGAATCAAAAAAGAGATTCAATTGAATTACATTAAAGTGATTAATCGCCCGTGATAATAAGAAGAATATAAAATAACAAATAATATCTAATATATAAAAATCTTGTGTCACGGTGTTTGTGATCGAATTCCTCCTAAACGGATCGACCGATCTTTACGAAATTTTTTGTGTATATTCAGCAGAGCTGTGTAATGATTGAATCAATTGAGTGTGCATTCTCATTTTTTTCGTTTCAAAAATGTGATTGTTTGATTTAAAAAATTTAACAACCACTTGAGATTGGTTACAAATTGTAAACACAAAATATGTAGTGTGTTATGGAATGGTTGACACCCATTCACATAGAGAAAGCGAATGCAAAAAAAAAACTCAATCATGTATGATTGGACGTTTATGGGAATGCAATCTGTCATTATCATTCAGTACTAATACTATTTGTTGTATCAGAGTTGAAATTTTTGTACTCAAAATGTGAAACCAGAAGATTGCCATCTCCCTTAAAATAAGTAAACTAATAAATATTTGGTGCTAAAATATTTTTCTATGTGTTTGGCCGAACTTCTGCTCAAACTTGAGGCATGAGTTCTGATTTTATAAGAAGAGTTTTCAAGCCAGAAATATACTCGAAGGTTTGCCATTGCGTGCCGAAGGACGACTGCTATTTTGGGTTATGATCTGACCAGGTATTTAACCATGGTCTTGTGGAGTGAAAGTACGCACATGTAATCACTCTGCTACGGCGGCCGCCGTAAGTACATGCTATACATATCGTCGTTTAAGGTACAAAACCGCGTATCAAGAAAATGCAAAACCGCGTAATTGCATAAATTATTTTATAGAGAGTAAAGTCACCCATATTTCAAAATGGTTATCTTTTTTATAAAGCAAACGTATTTCTGGCTAGTATATTTCAGGACGAATGGATAAGAATTGAGCCAAGAGCTTTTGTGAGCAAATCCAATTTTTGGCAGCCAATGTCAGTCACACGGTTTTGCAGAATGACGATACGCGGTTTTGTACTTTAAACGGCGATATATATGTACACATATTAGATTATTTATTCTCAAAATGCATGAAAACTATAGTATTCTTGCAAACAATTAATAACATTTTGTGATAAACAGTTTTACAAATGTATTTGCACTTCAAATTTGTATTTTAATAAAGTATTAAGTAAATAAATTATTATTTTAATAAATAGATATAAAGATATTTATACTTGGAAACTCTTTGACTTTTCTTTATTTGTAACAAATGACAGATGTAAACAAAATAAAAAAATAATTGTATTTTTACAAATTTAAAGCAAACGGGCGTTCTTTACAAAAAAATGTAGTTAGGGATCGAATTGCGCATATTTTTTTTACAATAGCAAGTGCCCACAAGAAGTGTTAAACCACTAAATAGCTTAAAAAACGCTTTCAAAAATTCGAAACGAGAATGAAGTGCAGTGTTCAATTGTGATCGAACTTGCAGGCAAAATTTGTGCGTGTGTAATTAATGTTTTACTTATTTGAAGAAATGTTGCCCGTTGTTATTAAAAATAAGCAAACCAAGACCCCCGCTTTTCACTGGTGGTTACGTAATACTTGAATAGCTCCTTAATTAAGATGTGTTTGTTTTGAGCACGCACGGCCAGTTAAACAGGCATGTCTGAATCGATTTCCTTCATCATTCTTAGCAATTTGATGTGCATTTTTATTTATGTGTTGCAAACAGACATTTTAGGAACTAAATAGGTTCTAAAATCTCTGTACACAAGCGCACTTATTTTTAACAGTTTCCAGTTTATGTAATATTAATCAAAACAGCTTTTATTTATTTTATGTATTATGTGATTTCTGGAAGCGTCGAATACAAAAAAGGGCTGTGACTGGGTTTATGTAATTTGAAATTGTATTGATGATTACTAATAATAATATAAATGCGCTTACATATCGACACAACTAAAAATTTCATATATTTCAGTAGAGCCAATTAAAGATTTTTTGTTTCGTAATTTAGAAGTAATATGTCTTGGAACGTAATTATTCCGCATTATATGCAGTCATACTGTAAGCTTTCAAATTATGTATTTTTCTAAACCTGAAATTTTGAATTGTGCCGTTGTTGCAGAGGACCATCGACATATGTTAGTGTTTGCCCGAGTTACTCCTCCGATTGTGGCATGCGCCTTGATGTTGTCGCACAAAGGGGAGGCACCTACAGTTTTACGCCGACTCCTG